CTTAACTTCGCCTACATGCTGCTCAAATGCTGTCACACTGATGCACACCTTCACTCCATTTTGAGGGTTTCCACAGAACCTAACTCCAGACATTAATGAACTGGCAGCCAAGAAAAGATGCCAGACATCTGGCTCTGGTATGTATGCATAAAATAATGTAGCCTACCTAAACATGTATTCTTTTTGCACTTTGTCCAATATCCCTTCTATCCTGTTTATTACATGGTGACTCTATTTGGCCCTCAACGTAGTCACAATTTTTAGTTTTGGCCCTCTCTGTGATTGAGTTTGACACCATGGCATACAGTGCATCCGGAAAGTATTCACAGCGCTTCACTTTTTCCACATTTTGTTATGTTACAGCCTTATTCCAAAATGAATTCAAATTCATTATTTTCCTCAACATTCTACACACAACAACCCATAATGACAAAGTGAAAACTGTTTTTTGCAAATTTATTCAAAATAAAGAACAAAAACATAACATGTACATAAGTATTCACAGCCTTTGCTCAATACTTTTGTTGAAGCACCTTTGGCAGCAATTACAGCCTCAAGTCTTCTTGGGTATGATTCCACAAGCTTGGCACACCTATTTCTGGGCAGTTTCTCCCATTCTTCTTTGCAGAACCTCTCAAGTTCCATCAGGTTGGATGGGGAGCGTCGGTGCACAGCCATTTTCAGATCTCTCCAGAGATGTTCAATCGGGTTCAAGTCAGGGCTCTGGCCGGGCCACTCAAGGACATTCACAGAGTTGTCCCGAAGCCACTCCTTTGTTATCTTGGCTGTGTGCTTCGGGTCGTTGTCCTGTTGGAAGATGAACCGTCGCCCCAGTATGAGGTCAAGAGCGCTCTGGAGCATGTTTTCATCAAGGATGTCTCTGTACATTGCTGCATTCATCTTTCCCTCAATCCTGACTAGTCTCCCAGTTCCTCCCACTGAAAAACATCCCCACAGCATGATGCTGCCACCACCATGCTTCACTGTAGGGATGGTATTGGCCAGGTGATGAGCAGTGCCTGGTTTCCTCCAGACATGACGCTTGGCATTCAGGCCAAAGAGTTCAATCTTTGTTTCATCAGACCAGAGAATTTTGTTTCTCATGGTCTGAGAGTCCTTCAGGTGCCTTTTTGCAAACTCCAGGTGGGCTGTCATGTGCTTTTTACTGAGGAGTGGCTTCCGTCTGGCCACTCCACCAAACAGGCCTGATTTGTGGAGTGCTGCAGAGATGGTTGTCCTTCTGGAAGGTTCTCCTCTCTTCATAGAACAACACTGGAGCTCTGTCAGAGTGACCATCGGGTTCCTGGTCAACTCCCTGACTGAGGCCCTTCTCCCCCGATCGCTCAGTCTGGCTGGGCGGCCAACTCTAGGAAGAGTCCTGGTGGTTCCAAACTTCTTCCATTTCCGGATGATGGAGGCCACTGTGCTCATTGGGACTTTCAATGCTGCAGAAATTTTTCTGTACCCTTCGCCAGATCTGTGCCTCGATACAATTCTGTCTCGGAGGTCTACAGATAATTCCTTGGACTTCATGGCTTGGTTTATGCTCTGATATGCACTGTCAACTGTGGTACCTTATATAGACAGGTGTGTGCCTTTCTAAATCATGTCCAATCAACTGAATTTAGCACAAGTGGACTCCAATCAAGTTGTAGAAACATCTCAAGGATGATCAGTGGAAACAGGATGCATCTGAGCTAAATTTTGTGTCATGGCAAAGGCTGTGAATACTTATGTACATGTTATGTTTTCGTTCTTTATTTTTAATAGATTTGCAAAAATTTGCAAAAAACAGTTTTCACTTTGTCATTATGGGTTGTTGTGTATAGAATGTTGAGGAAAATAATGAATTTAATCCATTTTGGAATAAGGCTGTAACATAACAAAATGTGGACAAAGTGAAGCGCTGTGAATACTTTCCGGATGCACTGTATATGCTGTATTATGCTAAAAGGTGTCATTTTGTAACGTTTTTGGTTGTTGGTGTGCCGCGGGATATTTTTAATGTGAAAAATGTGCCGCGGCTCAGAAAAGGTTGAAAACACTGCATTAGACCATTGAAGGCTAAATTGCGTATCACTAAGCAGGACTGCTTTAAGGCAGTATTTTTTTTTAATATGGTAGTAATGATTAAGTACCTTGATTTGTCAGGTATTTCATATGCCGCATTAGCTAAAGAATTATGACAAATCTGACGATGACGATGAGCAGGTTAAGAGCAGATATGCAACTTCAAAATATGTCCCTCTCCTTGCTGGAGAGAAATCAAAATCCACATCGACAACACAAATCACGTCACTAATCAAACACTTCAAACCAGCGAAGATTAGAAATAAATACGACTAAATATGAACTTTAAAAGGCTCAGGTACTTTGAGAGCAGATCGATTCCTGCTCCTGAGAGAGACGGCTGAGATTCTACCGGGTAGTTGAGTACAGACAGGTGCACGGAGGAGACACTGAAAACTCAAGTAGAGCAGACGGACAGGAGAGAGCTGCGAGGGATGGTTAATAATAAAGGAGCAGAAAGAAGTCGAGAGAGACTGTGGCGTACTCAATCATTACGACCGCGTGCACGCCTCTGCCATCTGCCACATGAAGCATATCTAGCCATCTTCACCTTCTCTTTTTATTTGTATTATTGCTGTGGTGGCGTTTTCACTGTCCCACAGAAACTCTGTTTCCCTGCTCTTCTCTTTGGCTCAGCCGCCACAGAAGGAAAGACGAAGGCAGGGTTGAGGTTTGCTGTGGTCTTTGGGAAAAAAATAAAATAAATGCTGCCCAACACAACCATAGGTTTCTAACATCAACCAGCAGCTGCACTGGAGGGATTAGAGATAAGTGCCTTGCTCAAGGGTATCTCGCTGTTAATCATTCCGGGAGGAGAGGGAAAGCGAGATTAAAGACATGTCCCTCTGTACAGATTCACCAGATGGCTCGGAGGTTTGAACTAACAACCTCCAGTGCACACTTAACACTGGATCGCTTTACTGACTTCAACAGACAGTAATAACACAATGAATGCAACACGTACCATGAATGCAACCAGGAATACCAACAAAAGAACACAGCGGTGTTCTACTGGAGTTCTGAACTGAGCAAGAGGGGGAAAAAAAAAGAATCACATCCTTTTCTTTATAGCAGTCATGTGCGTGTCTAATCCCCCCCCCCATCTTTATCTCACTGAATGAACAATAGAGCAGCGCGACGGGGAGACCTCTCCCAGTGCAGGCAGACAGGTGGGTAAGACTGGCGGCACTTCTGACTGCCTCTCTGACGCAACAAGTGACGGGCTCGGGCTCAACGCGGGTGACAGATTACAAAAGCAGGAAGTGGGAGGAAGAAAGGAAGAGCCAAACTCCCCTCCCCTCTGGGAGGCCGCTGGACTGGAGAAAGCAGAGGGGAGGAAGGGTAGTGGCGGCGGCTTATTGTTTGAGCTCCATGCGCTGCGGTTCCAGTGTCAGTACACACACTCGACCAGGCCCGACTATTTATATCCTCTCAATATCCAGGCAGGCGGAGGAGGGCTGCAGTCAATTTTCATCGTTGCATGCGTTATGGAGACGCGGCGTGTGCGCCTGCTTGTACTGCTTTTCTTTCAGGATTTCCCCCACTAACATTTGGACCATGTTGGCTGCCGCATCCTGGATTGTACACCATTTATAGAAGCGGCAAGTACAAAAATGTAGCATTGTTCAACCAGCTCAAACAAAAATTAAAGGCTAACCTATATGAACCAAATAACATACCATGAAATTGGGTGACTTGTTAGAGAAAGAAAATACGGGGTCTTTATTTCCTAATAGGGGTCAAGCTCCGAAAAAGCTGGACCCTACATTTCCCATAATGCATCTCAAAAGCATCTGCCACGATATCTCATGATAATTTCATCATCAGGGTTTATTTTCTCAGAGTTAAGAAGGCTACATCTTAAAGAATGAGACGGGCATTCTTTATGCTCGTCTTATATTATCTTGGAAAAACTATTTTGGCAAACAATTATTTATCGGAGTCAATTTTGTGCAGGTTGTAGGCTTGTGGAGGATTCTGGGAGGCTCTGTGCTCTTCTGACAAGACATCTGCTTGGCACGCACACACACACACACACACAGACACACACACACACACACACACACACACACACACACACACACACACA